GCTCCACAAATGTTTCCATCGATTCCAGATTTGGCTCGAGGCTTCCTATAGGACTCCACGTGCGAATTTTTATTTTAGCTTGCCATTTATGTATTTATATATACTATTTAAACGCTACGGTTTCCTAGCGCGCCAATCTTTTCAACGTTTTCTGTAGCTTCAAGTCAATATTGTTGCAGAATCTATACTCTACCTAGCTTCACTGTCATCGCTACAGTCAGGAAACATTTGTAAGTCTTTATATTCTGTCCTGTATTTTTCTTATCGCTCGGCTCTTCTTCACATGTATTTTCATTTATTTTTCTAGTCGAGCCTCGCTCGATCTTTCAATACTCAACGGGCTCCTCGAGTCTCTTCAACAGAGCGTGAGTTCGAAATCTCTAGGCGAGCGACAACAAGAACTGTAAGCTACACTTCCCTTAACAACAGAAGATTGCCATCATAAATGAAGCAAATACATAAGGAAATGAAATAATATAAGATTTTAACCGACGGAATATACTAGCACAAGCTCAATGTGCTTTCATTGTGGTACTCACAGGGAAGAAACCAAATTCAGCAGATATTTCAGATGATATTTCAGATGTTTCTTCAAAAGCAATAATTCATTGCAGGCTTAAAATCATAGGAATATACTCTCCTCCCATCGCTTTGGCGGGTTTGGCACTCAGGTGGAAGCCACCTTTCTGAGCGATTGTAAACAGCGTTATGTAACAGTCACGGTAAGCCTGTACGTTTCTTTTTAGTGCCAGCGGTTTTCCAGTTATTATTTCTACTTCATCATTGGTCATTGACCGTTTCTGAGTCACGTGAGAGAGCGCGCGAACCTGGGAGATCAATTGTGTGTGATCTTTGGGAGATTCAGCTTATCTGGCGAGCTCTGCAGTTTTTTCGGTACTTTTATCCGACCATGTCTAAGAACAAGACAAAGATTACTGCCACGATGAAGACGCCCTTTTGAGAGACGACATAGAATCGACCAACGCAGCAGAAAACACTGAAAAGACTAAGAACTCGAGCGACTCGCTCGCCGCTATGATCGNTTTCAGATGATATTTCAGATGTTTCTTCAAAAGCAATAATTCATTGCAGGCTTAAAATCATAGGAATATACTCTCCTCCCATCGCTTCGGCCGGTTTGGCACTTAAGTGGAAGCCATCTTTCTGAGCGACTGTAAACAGGGTCATGTAACAGTCACGGTAAGCCTACCACCTGTACGTTTCTTTTAAGTGCCAGCGGTTTTCCAATTATTATTAAATTTCAACCTGCAACCTGCAACCTGCAACCTGTGACCTGCAAAATATACCTGCCGAAAGCCAACTTGAAGTTTGCGGCGAATTTCCGAGATTTTACTTTGGAAATTAAAGCCAATTATTCATATCATGTCGACATGCATCGCAGTGCAGTTGAATAAGCTTTCTGTTTTTCCGAAAAAAACAACACAATGGGTCCGAGGATCATGACCATGGTAACATTTCCCGGAATTATATATTCTTGATTCCGAGAAAACCGGAAGTTCGTATGAGTGGCTAATAGTCCATTGTGTTGGCCTTCGGATCTTCGGATAACACATGAACTCCTAACTGAGGTTTTGTCGTTGAATTCGAGCCTTTAAAACGCTACAAAGGTAGGTTGTAAGTCTTCTAAATAACTGTATTTTGTTAATATTAATTTACATTAAAAACTACAGGGTTAAAGCAGGTTAAAGCAACGAGGACGGCGACGCCGAAGAGAGTACAACGCGGATTCAAAAGTAAATATTATGTTATCTACGAACCTCGTGGTAGATAAACTGAATCGAACTGAACGCCGGACTCTGAAGATTATCACCGTTAAGTTACAGCTATTCCAAAACTGAAGTAAATTCGAAAAAGAGACTTAAATGACGTCGCCGTTCGCGTCCTCGAGACTATACGCGGTGGTTGGTAATTTCACGCTGTTAGCTGTTGTTGATTGTGACAAACCATATGCGTTTTTTAGCCCCGGGGAGTACTCCCGCATGAAAAGGTCAGGGACGATCGTCGTCTCGCTTAGGGGTATAAATCAAGGATTCTGGTCTCGCTTAGGCTGTTCATGACGAAACGCCACTATTTTAGGCTATCAAAGCATCTTTTAGGGTGCACTCGAAAAAAGCAATGATTTGTGAAACGCTCTCTCCATTTCCGCCGGTCTAGCCCACGAGCCCGGTCTTCCCATTCTGAATAGCAGCTGGTATTGGGTAAAAATAAAAAATTGAGCCACGCTCAGATTAGTCTTCTTTTGGGGTTTGATTCAAATTTCCTGACGAGCATTCCCGACCATTTCATATGGAAGTTCCCCCCGGGTTAAAACAATTTTGGAGGCCATCTTGACGGGTAGGCAACAGCGTCAGAAATACAGTGTTTGTATAGTAATCCGATGGCAAATATCGAATAACAGCATCGAATTCTCAGTGAACAATTTACGAATAGCAAAGTTAAGATTCTAGACAAAGGATCCTAATGACCGGCAAAATAACCTAAGGGCCTGATTACATGGCGAATTTCAGCCCGGCTTCTGAAACAGATTCTCATGAAATCAAATTGGCGATTACATGAAGAAGGATTCAGCCCGGGCAAACGGGCTGAAAAGTCTGAAAAAATCCCATGAAATCGAAACGGAATTTCAGCCCGGGCTGAAAAGCAGGAAATAAGATGGCTGCCGCTACGAAGTAGAAACGATCTCAGCGGAATAAAGGCGATAAAATAGAGAATCTCTCTAATTTCAAAGCTTAGATGGAATATAAGAACATCGAGACAAGGTTAAACAGCACGAGGCTGTCAGGG